AGGCCTATGATCAATTTAATTAATTTACAAGGCTTAAAGCTTATTTGAAAAAAAAAAGAGAAAAAAACAATCAATTTGGAGTTTCAAATCACGAATTTACGCGCTTTGGAAATATCTCCCGACTTTTCACCCAATCTCCAGATTTTTCAAGGCAAATCTCCAGATTTTTTTTCCTGACCTGTACACATGTATGAATATGAGTCAATGTTTAAGAATGAATTACCCTGAAATTTATTTTATGAATCTAATATTTTGAACTATTGTTAATGAAAAGCAAATTTGAAGAAAAATTGAAAATGAAATCAAATAAAATGAAATGAATGGAGTTTTACGTAAGTTTACATTGAAAAGAAAACACACTTCTCTCCAAGAAATTTCACCCCAAAAAAGTCTCAAATTTTGGCTGAAAAGTGTCGTCTATAAAACAGTTTCGAGACATAATGTGTGCTCATGTTTATATTTTTATCAACGAAAAGACATTCTTCGACTAGCAGTACTGTTTTGAAGCTGTTATTCCAATTCTCATAAAAATAATGAAAAAAATTCAAAAAATTATTTTTTGTCCTTTGCTCAAACAATAGGAGCTTAGGAATGCTTGAAAATAGTTATCAGAATTATACTGTAGTGTAAAACAACATACTTATTCTTAGGAACAACCACTTTATTGATTGAAATTTCTGTCTAGTAACAAGCTCTTGAATCTTGTATCTTTTTTAACTGTAAAAATTTTTTGAATTGGATTGCTTTGAAAGACAAAGAAGCACTAATTTTGTACTTGATTACCCTGTCACAGTACCCTAAACCACCTAATACCGGTACATCATAAATTATGGTGGTTTCACACGTGGTAACATACTTATGGATTAGTATGCCATGATGACACAAAGTACTTGTCATGACACTGACAACCTTAACACTCTGTAAATGATATGACAATAACAGATAGGGAACATCTCAAAATAATACTTTTATGACTTGTCTCTTGGTACCTTGACATGGCTTGGTTTAGATTTAAAACAGAATTTCTTGTCACACAGAATGACTCATCGTGTGCGACTTTTAGACTTGATCTGCTCAAATGAGTCTAATGATTTTTTGGGAACTATTTTGTTCTTTTGAAACAAGTTTTTAGAATGCTTTTCCTTTTTGATATTAGGCCCCGGCTTAGTTTGTGTAGTTTGTGTAGGCCCGATGTATCATATTTTGTGATTAAAATCCTTAATTTGATGGTATTTAGAGGGAATGTTCATGAAATTTATAAGGGTACAATTTATTTAACAGGAATTGTTCTTGTCGTTCTGAGAAATAATAACACCCATCCCCAAGCTGATAATTTGAAATTTGCTCATAATGGTAATGCCAAGGTTTATATGGCTAAATCTCAATTTAAAACTCAATTTTGTATGAAGTGCTATTTTTTAGAAGAATCCCTGTGAAGATCAGATAAATTCACTCAAATCTACTTTATTACTTTCTAATGTGCTATATCAATACACATTTTTCTCATTTCTACATATGGTTTATCCTATATTTATTATTTCTTCTTCTCATCAAATCATAATATACTAACTGCTGGTTCTCTACATGGAGCCCATCTTACTCAGATAGATTGCCTAAGTTGATATTTATTCTTTATGAATGTGATTGGCAAGATTTCTTTTCTGTAGTAGAACTTTTCTCAGCAACAGAACTTATAAACAATAAGTCAAAAGTTAGAATCTATAATAAAAAAGAATATTTTTCTGTAGAAAAGATAGGCTCGGTGTTAAGAGATTGTAATTTTGCTTTTGTATATAATCTATCTGAAAAAAGGTGTGATGTAATCAGGTAAAAAAAACAGCACTGCAATACACCGACTGGAATCTTGATAAAAATCTTGTGTGTGCCTGTGCTTCCACAACACGATTATTAGGATTTATCACATCAAACATGTTTGATATTTGTCTCCGATTAATTTGCCACCTGAAAGACAGAGCATCAGTATCGAATCAGATTCATTTTCCTTTCAATTGCATGATCCGCATGTGATCATTGACATAATCTAAAACGGGCGGCCCCGCAGCCAGTCGGTGAAACTTTTGACAAGACTATAGTCAGGGATGGCGCCGACCAAGACTATATGTATGAATTTATTGTACTTATCATATACAGTCAAGTAACCTAATTTCGTGGAAACCTATTATTCATGGATTTCCGGAAAGGATTAATAATTTACATGAGCGACCTTGCTCGACCTCCGCATTAGTTTGTTTTGATAAACATGGGTTTTCTCTACAATATCAGCTAGTAGAATGAATCCAGTAGTTTCAAGCAAGGTAAAATGTATTAATGTATACTTTGACAAATACAAAATGGTGGATTTCAGTTATTACCAAACGTCACCATTTTTTATCGGCCGAATTTCCTTATAATCCCAAGCAGTAATCGGAATTCCAACTGTCTGCTAGAATGTAGTCCAACGAATGAAGTCACGTCATCAACTAGCGGATTCCGTGTCAGCAGAAAATTTCTATGGAACACAAAGTGGACCATATTCTGCCGCCGTTGCCGAGTTGGTTGCTCATGAAATATGAATCAAAGTGAAGGATTCATAAAGAAAATCGAAATAAACCAATTTTAATTATTTTGTAGATTATCTGAGTAAACATCTAAGACATAAAAAAAAAATATCGTTTTTTTAACTTTGACAAAATTCGGTGTTGAATCCTTATATCCACGAAAATAGGTTACACCAGTGTATATTTGATGCACTGATATGGATTACATGTAAGCTTACTAGACTGTCTACTAGAAAATTTAAGATCAATGTTTTTGTACTGATTTTGGACAAATTTCAAGTAACCCAAGTCTCAGATAATGAACTCAATGATTTTAACTTTTAGCCTGTAACCATGGGAAAGTACTATAATTATTGAAGTACAGAACAAGACCACAGTCAAACAGTTCAAAATATATCAAGTTATCTATCAAGTTTGCTTTAGATACAAACTAAATAACCTACAATTCTGTATCCCTCTTCTCCACTGATTGAGATACCATTTCTTTTGGTCATTTAGTTTATAGAGGTCACAACTCATTAGCAAAGGGAATGAATAAACCGTTTATATATTCCAGAACAATCCAGTTTTTGAAATAGCCAATTAAAGTCTTTGATCAAAAGCTGTTCACTTTTCAGAAAAATAAAAAAAAAAAATTAAAGGGAGGTAACTCTAGATATTGTTTGTTCCTTAATTTTCAGACAACATTTGATTTTTCTCAATGACCACAATATATTAGATTTATAGTTGGATTATTTTGGTCAATGCAATTTGTGTCATTCAAATATAACTTTGACACATTAAGTAAAGATATATGTATATTTACATCTTAACATTGTCATTATAATAAGAATTCTGTAGATTACTTTAGATTAGATTGAAACATCTATGTTTAGAATTCAAAGCCGTGGGTGGGTAAGCTTGATAGCAGACAGGTACTCATATCAAATCAGATCTGAAATCAATTTAGGAATAGCAGAAAACAAGGCCATTGAAAAGTGCTATGGATTTAAATCTGAAGTGTGAACTCACTAAAATATTACTATAATCCATATCCTCAATGGAACATACACATATAAATAATGGATCAATTTCTGCACCTTGTGAGATGAAAGTGCCTTTTTTATTTTATAATGTCAGTTAACCTCTCCATAGTTTTGCTTTGCAGAACAGACAAAACATTTACCAGTTCTGTTTTCTACTAAAATAGTCTGGTTTCTTTGACATATTGACAAGGAGATGAAGATAACAGGTGTACTGAGCTGAAATGTAAATCTGTCTGTACTTCATCTGTACAATGTAAACATGATATTTAAATTAAGAATTTAACATTTTACTAAGTGTGTGTTTGTTACCCTTATGTCTTAGACATATTTGGTATTTGTAAATGAACTCATGTAGACCTTGTTTGTCTTTACATTTCCTCCCAGATTAACAGTATGATTTAAAAAAAGATGCAAAATAATGAGCATGCTTGACTCCATGTTCTGAAATGTTAAACTCATCCACTAGAGAAACTCTTTTTGTATATAAGGTTTTTGACTGTAAATAACAAATAAGCAGAAAAAGAGATTTGTATAATATTGGTTAATTTTAGCCTACTGATTCTTGATTTTGAAAGATTTTCAATGACGATAGAATATTTCAAGTATGGAGCATTCTCCACTAGAATTTGCATTACTAAGCACAAATACAATATAGTGAAAAAGTGTGAATGGATTTATTTTTACTCTCAAATCCCCAATCCAATAAATCTTCTTGAACAAAAATTACAAGAAACTGGTCATGACCTGTTAAATATGTCTGTTTTAAGAACCCTGATCTTAACTGTGAAATATTCCTTTAAAATTTTGGTAGTCTATTTTAGTTGATAGGTGTCAGTAATACTGTCTGTTTTCCCTCAAACCCAGTTAGAGATAGGGGTCTGACTTTTGACGTCAATCTTTTGCTTTATGTGGTCAAGTGACTTCATTCCAACTGATTGTATGTTATAAGCTTAACTCATTAGATGAAATAAACATTCGAAATAGCCAAAATGAAAAAAACAAAAAGCATAGCATTGAAAAATAAGCTGTAATTTAAATATAAGCTTTATCATGCATAATATGATAGTATGATAATTGCTTTGATTAACAGATAACATATGATAATCAGGTATGCATAATGACCTAAGTATAATCTCATAATGTTATAAATAGCACGAATGCTCACAATACAAAAAGAAAACATTATTACAAAGGCTATAAGTTTATGGTTCAGTGAATCAGTGACTAAATTGAATTGGAATAGTCTAAATTATTTGACTGTTTGGTTTCCCATTACAGTTAATGATTAAGTTGAGGTCATTAATAATGTAGTGAGTGTCTATAGTACTCCACTATTAGCCAGATGGAAGATGTGTTAAAACTGTGGTGAACATATGACCTCTTATAATTTTCTTTTAGCAGACGGCAATTTGTAGCAGACTTGAAAATTCAGATATTGTGTTACTTGTAGGATTTCTTTAACAGAATTTATATGGAATCGTATTTCTATTCAATGTTTTAACACAAAAACCAGCACAGAATTTGACATTTATTGTGCATTTGCAAGAACGATTCCTTTGTTTAGCAGAAGTCTAGCAGAAACTAACTGCATGTAAAAGACTGGAAGCTATATGTTGTTAAGTGTGTCGGTTCTAAATAACTTCACCAATTATTGGCTCTCTGACGTGTCTGGGTAACTAAGATAAGAACGTTCATTTTACACTTTATTTTGGCCTTCCAGTAAACTTGGCTTCTGTTCTAGAGATAAACCTTGTTTCTGCTATTGCCTGAGAATTCTAATAGCGGTAAAAACAGTTGGAAGTTATAAGACATTTGCATTCATCTATTCTTTTGAAATTTTTCAAATTTTGAAACATTTGCTACAAAACTGGATACTCCGGAAGAAATCAGTGTCAGTGAAGCTGAAAAGCGCACAATGTTTTCAGCTGGTGGTGGAGAGGAACCCGCTCCAGTGGTTCCTGGAAGTATTTCTGGAAGTTTATTTACCTCAAGTGTAAGTCTCTTTTTTTCATTCAAAGGTCATTTATAGGAGATCAATATTAAGAAAGCTTTTCATGATTTAAATTTGTTGTTTAAACCTTTGACAGTGAAATAAAAAGAAGTTTTGTTTAATGATTACATAAACCAGTAGAAATATCAGGTTAATTAAGCAATTAAAGATCATCTTGAGAATTTTGGTGGGTATCAAGAATGGCTTCATTCAGAATGTTAAAGTATCATTATTTAGGTGCTACTCATAGGAGTTTCATAAAAAGTTGCTTATCAAGAATGTAATGTTTTAGAATGAATTCTATACTTTTAAGAATATATATATGGTTATCAAATAAAATATATTTTATTTTAGTTTTTTATCATGTCAGTTTGAACTGTGTTGAAGTATGAGTTGTGTTCTGATGAAATAAAAGCAAAATTCTTGCATAAATTTATTGTTTGAATTGAACAGCTGGTTAGATTGATGAATTACGAATTGATCTTATTCTGCTACAAGTAATTTTGATAGTTGCCTTTGGGCATATCAGACTCCTTTTTTACCTGTAGGACCTGTAAATTCTAAATAATAGAAACTTGCTCATTCTGAAAAAAAAAGATTCCCATGACCAAACTCGTGGATTGTCTTTTTGGAGTGTCACACCAATTATCCCTGATATAGGTACTTCATAGGGGTCACAAGAAAACAAAATGTAGCAAAATGATGGGCATGCCATTCTTTAGTACCAACACTCACTCTAGTTCTACATTTAATGAATCTAAACTTTGTGAAGTAAACATATTATGAAAACTATCAGCTGCGCTTAAATATGATATGGGGACCAATCCTTTAAGTTTGACAGGCATATATGATTGAGTAAACCTTTTGTTGTTGTCAAAAATAAGTGGAGATGTAAACAACCTAAAGACGTCTGCAAACAAAGCTGCTTTTTTAGGTCACCAATTGAAGTTTGGTTTTAAAAAATTCTCACACAATAATATCTACTGTTAAAGAAGGATATGACTTATAGAGAAAACCTGCTTCAATGAAATTTACTAGTTGTATGTCCTTGTCCTAAATTTATCGAGAAAGTTGATTCAATAGAATATTCAATCAGATACAATAAAATGGAAATAAGTTAGTTAATATTCAGAGAGTAGACGATTGGTGTTGTTAGTTTAGTTGACTGTGGTATCAGTTTGTATGACTCATTGTGAAAATAACAATGTCAAGAGCTACTTTTCTAAATATTTATTGGTGAAGGGACACCTTTTATTTGTGCATCAACCTGTGCAAGGAAATATTTCCTTTCTTCATATGAATGACGCATTTTTAAGGAAATTTATTGTAGTTTTTGGAGGTTACCTTGTCAAAAGTTATTGATTTTGAGAATGTATGTTTCGTCAAGTCCTGTTTTAAAAACGCCAAAGAATACTGTACTGAATAGAAAATTGTCATCAAATAGCAGTATGTCAGCAGAGCAAGATAAATATGGCCAGTTTGTTAAAGAAACAGAGGTAGTTACTACATTATTTCTTAAGGTTTGAAATTCTCATCATTTCATTTTTTGTGTCACTTTCATAATTTCTATGTATTACTTTTGAATTGTGAAGTATGCCTTTTGAATGAGGATGAAAAATTCAGCACAAACTAAACTAAAATTCTGTTTGTAGCATTTTATTACCTCGTTTTCAGTCCAGAGTTTGAGCACTTCCTGTCTGACACTTGACACCACATTGTTATTTTCTGAAATTAATTTAGCTTAAGTGATAAAGGACATATTACCAAGGGTGCTTATTATGAAAATAGTATTTGTTAAAATGACCCTCAGGTTTGCTTTCACTAAAAAAATAATCAAACTTTGTTTGTGTAAAACTGCTTATTAACAAATTAACTTGCTATCATATGAACATATGTTTTTATTGTGAAATGGTGGCCATGCTATTAGAAAAGGTTTTGGTTCTGAAATTCAAAAATGTTCAGAATTTTTTTTTAAGGGCATATGATGAGATAAAAAATGGAAACCATCAGCTCAGTTTCTGATCATATAAAGCTACATATATCTACCTCCCATCAATTAAATACAAATAACTGTTACCAAAACTGAATTAGGTCAAAATCAATAAATATTTGAAACATGTTGTAATTTAGATTTTTATGTGAAGATAAATTTAGAAAGATGGACAGGCTGTTTATCACAAATTGATTGGTAAATTGGCAATTTTCCATTTCCGAGCCAAATCGATTTACTTTAATGGCCTTAAAAATTAGTTGATATATAGTTGAGTGGTTTGTTTTTGACAAATGTATGTAATGAATGTTCATAAATCATCAATAGATTTGAACGAAAGGTCCATAAGATCATTGTCCAAGGAATGTTCAAATTCTGTTTTCTAGTATCTGGTTGCTATTTATTCAAAGGGAAAATGAGTTTAATTGAAGTTTTAATTTTGTGTTTAATATTCTGGTGTTGTATTGTTTGATATTAATCTGTGAAAGAGTTCCTGAAAATATTACCCAATCCTAGCACAGGGTAGCACATGTCAGTATAGGAGCCAAGATAGCTTTGTGAGTTGATCACTAGTCTGGTAACTGGCAGTTAAGGGCTTTATCTCGGCTTTACATAGTACAAAGTACCTTGAAATGATGGACATGGAAAAAAGCATCTAGTTATTCAGATTGGACAGTTGCTTTATCCCTCATTGCACACTGCATGGCATAGCCCAACTTCATTGGCTCAATCATGAGCGCAATAGTTTCCATTTAATTCATTTCTTACATGTGCACGCACAATCTGGCTTCAACAAAATGTAAATGGCAAGTATACAGGCCACCAAGAATTCTTGTTATAGAGTTGGTACAGTGTGTTATATTGGCACTGTAATGATGATTCATAATATTATGTTTTTATAATGTTACATACAGCTGTAGAAAGAAATTTCACACGCCTGATTTCTGATAGAATGTTAAGAATTCATGCCAAGTTTTCATCAATTTATTACTCAACTTGGTTGGTTTGATTTGTTTGACCGTATAGATGAAATTATTTAAATACACTGAATATTTTGAATAGATGAAATAGAATAGTTTAAATACATTAAATAAAATAGTTTGAATAGATGAAATAGAATAGTTTAAATACATTAAATAGAATAGTTTGAATAGATGAAATAGAATAGTTTAAATACATTAAATAGAATAGTTTGAATAGATGAAATAGAATAGTTTAAATACATTAAATAGAATAGTTCGAATAGATGAAATAGAATAGTTTAAATACATTAAATAGAATAGTTTGAATAGATGAAATAGAATAGTTTAAATACATTAAATAGAATAGTTTGAATAGATGAAATAGAATAGTTTAAATACATTAAATAGAATAGTTTGAATAATAGAATAATTTAAATACATTAAATAGAATAGTTTGAGTAGATGAAATAGAATAGTTTAAATACATTAAATAGAATAGTTTGAATCTTTAGTATAGTCCAGATAACATTAAATAGTTTGGATAGATCTTGAAGTTTGGACTTCAACATAGAATATAAATAGTTTGAATAATAGAATAATTTAAATACATTAAATAGAATAGTTTGAATAGATGAAATAGAATAGTTTAAATACATAAAATAGAATAGTTTGAATAATAGAATAATTTAAATACATTAAATAGAATAGTTTGAGTAGATGAAATAGAATAGTTTAAATACATTAAATAGAATAGTTTGAATCTTTAGTATAGTCCAGATAACATTAAATAGTTTGGATAGATCTTGAAGTTTGGACTTCAACATTGAATAGAGTGAAGAAGCTCCTTTGATTAGTTTGAAGAGGCGAAATCATTTGTTTATATAAAGCAAATTTGATAGTGTGAAACTATGTGTAAGAACAGCATGTTTTTTAGGTTCTGTTTTAATATTTCTAAAGGAAATTGAATAGTTTTACAAAACTGTGAATATACAAAAAACAGGCAAATAAAAAAAAAATCTAGAACTGAATGAAAACTGTGTTACTCTTCTACTGATATTGAATTTGTTAAAAATGACTTGCAATTGCAATTACACTGTGGTCATTTCACATTTAAAAGAGCAATATAATTCAGTTCATATTATTGGTGATTTTTCTCTGAATTGTTATGATTTATGATAATTTTTAGTGAATATCTAAAAGATAAGATGGTATAGTGATAGTTATATAGAATGTGTCAACTACTATGACTGATATATCATATCTTTATGGTATAGGTGTCAAGTATCACATAAACATAGTTTATAACATTTATACTGTCAGACTTTATGTTGTTTGGGCTATATATCTTCTAAAACTCTTCTAAAATATTCCATATTTCTCTTTGAATAAGCTATCTGAATTGTTTCCTCTGTTTTCAATGAGGAAATAAGAATTAAGTAGAATGTTTTCTTAAGGAAGTAGTTGTTCTGGATGCAAAAGATCACACCTTGGAAGAAGTTATTTTGATAAAGTGAACAACGGTCCTATCTATTACTGATAAGGGAGCAAGGTTATTTTGTCGTTGGGTTCTATTATTTGTTTTATGGTAACAAAAAATGTCCAGTTATTCCAAACAAATAATTTACAACATCTATAAATTTCTTCTTTTTCTTTCAGTTTGTGAACCCAGAACAACCTGGTTATGTTGGTTTTGCCAATCTACCAAATCAAGTACATAGAAAATCTGTTAAAAAAGGATTTGAATTTACTTTAATGGTAGTGGGTGAGTATGATAAAGAAGTGTTTATTCAAATAAGATTCCTTAAAGATTTCTACAAGATTTCAAATTTGAATATATTGCCTCAAGGTCTCAATATGGACACAGAATATGGAGTTCATAGGTCACATTGAATTGAAATGACACCCTCTTACATTAGATTTTTGATTAAATTAAAAATACTAATGAAGATTTGAATTGATTTAGATATTAATACATTAATTAAGTGAGGTCTTATCTATTTCTTAATTTTAGGTGAATCTGGTTTAGGAAAATCAACTCTAGTCAATAGTTTATTTTTAACTGATTTATATCCAGAACGTCATATTCCCACAGCATTAGGTAAGATATACCACTACCTCTTACTATTCATATGACAAGAGAATATCCCAAGGACATGGCATGACATGATAATGCCACAATGCATGCTATCCACTGAGTAATGGTAGAATGCACAACAAATATGATTTATTCCGTTTCCATAAAAATGTTACCTGTTTGTATTGCAGAGAAAATCAAACAAACAGTAAAGATTGATGCTTCTACTGTTGAGATTGAAGAACGAGGTGTTAAATTAAGATTAACAGTAGTTGATACTCCTGGATTTGGAGATTCATTAAATTCTGATGACTGGTACGTATAGTGCAAAATCTTTTGAATCAGCAGGGTTGCATTGATACTGGAATTTGGCCTTGAAAACTGGGGTTGGGACTTGAAAACTTGGGTAGGGACTTTTAAAACTGGAGATGATTCAAGTTAATTGGTGTTTGTCCTAGAAAAAAAGAAAGTTAGTCTTTCAAAAAAGTTATTGTTATGTTATTGTATAAGTTATTGTATAAGTTATTCGTAAAAAATGAAATTTTACTTCAGACACAGCATAATAATAATGATATTCTAATTATGTTTTTTTACAGTTTTAAACCTATTATCCAGTATGTTGATGATCAGTTTGAAAGATATCTCAATGATGAAAGTGGTTTAAACAGAAGACATATAGTAGATAATAGAGTCCATTGTTGTTTTTATTTCATCAATCCATCAGGACATGGGTATGGGGTTTTTCTTTTACTATTTGTTTCACAGTTATTTATTTAAATGAACTATGTTTAATGTAGTTACCAACCGTTTAGTTTAGCACATTGATTAAATTAGATATAAAAAAATCCAGAATATCTGGGTTATATGGGTTCATTGGCACTGGCTATGCCTTTAAGAGAGTCTACATAGACAAGAATCTATGTTTTATATGCAAGCCGTACTAACACCTAATGCCACTCTGAATTGCTGAAGTCAACATCAGATATAGTATATAACTCTGTATACATTTAATCGAGTATTTTATGGCATGTTTATTTTGATTCAGGATGAAACCACTTGACATTGCATTTATGCGAGCTGTACATCATAAAGTTAATATTGTTCCCGTTATAGCCAAAGCTGATACTTTAACTAAACAGGAAGTTCAAACTTTAAAACGGAAGGTATGACATACATTTCCTTATGATTTGATTTTTTCTGGTTATTGTTAGTGTTAAGGATACAAATCTTTAGTTATTCATTTTAACAGTTGATATAATTTAATATTAGCCATCCTTCACACTCATCAAAATTGGTATTGATGTCAGTTATCTATCCTCTATATTAATATTTTAGATATTAGACTAGATAGATGAATATGGTATCAATATCTATTCTCTATATTATTATTAAAGATATTAGATCAGATAGATGAATATGGTATCAATATCTATCCTCTATATTATTATTGATATTTTAGATATTAGACCAGATAGATGAATATGGTATCAATATCTATCCTCTATATTAATATTTTAGATATTAGACCAGATAGATGAATATTGTATCAATATCTATTCTCTATATTATTATTAATATTTTAGATATTAGACCAAATAGATGAATATGGTATCAATATCTATCCTCTATATTATTATTAAAGATATTAGATCAGATAGATGAATATGGTATCAATATCTATCCTCTATATTAATATTTTAGATATTAGATCAGATAGATGAATATGGTATCAATATCTATTCTCTATATTATTATTAATATTTTAGATATTAGACCAAATAGATGAATATGGTATCAATATCTATCCTCTATATTAATATTTTAGATATTAGACCAGATAGATGAATATGGTATCAATATCTATTCTCTATATTATTATTAAAGATATTAGATCAGATAGATGAATATGGTATCAATATCTATTCTCTATATTATTATTAAAGATATTAGATCAGATAGATGAATATGGTATCAATATCTATCCTCTATATTATTATTATTAATATTTTAGATATTAGACCAGATAGATGAATATGGTATCAATATCTATTCTCTATATTATTATTAAAGATATTAGATCAGATAGATGAATATGGTATCAATATCTATCCTCTATATTATTATTGATATTTTAGATATTAGACCAGATAGATGAATATGGTATCAATATCTATCCTCTATATTAATATTTTAGATATTAGACCAGATAGATGAATATGGTATCAATATCTATCCACTGCCAGATTGTGATTCTGATGAAGATGAAGATTATAAAGAACAATGCAGACAGCTGAAGGTAAAAAATAATAACCACATCAATTTAATTATACTGTGTCTTGATATATCAATAGCAATAAAACTAACTGAAATTCTAGTCTAGATTACTTAGTCTATATTTTTGATTGATCTATCCTTATAACTTGATCTCGTAAGATTTATTTATCCATAATTTGTTTAAATAACTGTCTTTATCATAATTTTATGTTTTACTCTTCAATTTAGAGTGCTGTTCCCTTTGCTGTTATTGGTGCTAACACAGTGATAGAGGTGAAAGGTCGAAAGGTTAGAGGTCGAATGTATCCTTGGGGTGTTGTGGAAGTGGAGAATCCTGAACATTGTGATTTTATTAAATTAAGGACCATGTTAATGTGAGTTATTCTTCCCATTTAAATACAGGATTTTCATTGTCTGTTATCTGATCTAATAAAAAGTTAGACTCCTTATATTCTGTCCACCAGCTGCTCCTTTGGCATATTTCTCCCTGAGATACCTCAACCCGATTGAGCAATGGTAAAAGTTTATGATATTTTAAAAACCCTTCTGACATAATTTTTGTGTAATATTTAAATAGCTGTATACAGGTTTAGAGACATTCTATAAAACAGGGATAAGGATTAAGTTATGACCATTATAAATGACATTTTCCTCCAATTACACTCTATTGTAACTGTTATTTGAAAGAATTAGTCAAGAACGAATTTGTCATTCTCACTTCAGCACCCACATGCAAGATTTACAAGAAGTAACACAAGAGATACATTATGAGAATTATCGTGCTGAGAAACTAGCTACTGGGGAACCGGTTAAAAAGTCCAGGTACTGTATTTTATTATGTATTGTTATAATTAGTATTTTATATCAAAGGTCATTAGAAATGTTTTTTGAACAAGGGAGGACAATTTTTAAGAGAAATATCAAATTTTCACTGCAAAAATAATAATTTCACCTTATGAAGTTAATTAAAACAATTTAAATGTGAGTGCTTATGGAAACATTTGTTATGTTATGGAGATGTGTTTAGAATCTGGAATTTGAAGACAAAATTGTTCGTCTTTGATAATTTCCCAGTAAAAGATCGAATTATCAGAAAATAGAATTCAAAAGTATTTCTAGTGACCTTTAAAAGAAGCATGTTGTATTTGTTTGGTAGAAGTCTTCTTGTTTGTCTTTATTTCAGCTGTAATATCCATCATTTCATAATAGTCTATAAGTAGATTAGAGATTAAAAACTTTAAATTGATGTTGTTATAGGTTTAAGCATGCCTTGACTTATAGTTATAGAAATCATTTATTTATAAATACACTTTATTATTATCTTAATGGTTGCCCTTCAAGAAAAATAAATCTCAATTTCACCTACATGTATTACTTTTCAAAATGAAAATACAACGTTTGTAATGTGAAATGAAGTCAAAATATTTAGGCTTTCCTCACTTTTCTTTTTATGTTTTATACAAACTAGACATAAGATTGTCATTCTAAAAAGTACTCTGGAATAGAAATAAAGCTCTATCAGAAACAAGTATATTGAGAATGGAAATAGGCCATGTTGTTAAAGGTGTTGTTTATTAAGAAATATTATGAAATGATGGATATACCAATAGGTGATTGAGACTCACATGCTTATATTTATAAAAGCAGAATTCTATGCCAAGCGTAATCAAATATAATGCAAAATATTATATTATCACATTTTGAGGTACACACACAAATGTGAATGGCATGAATGAAAATGAAAACTAGATGTCTTGCAAATAGTGAACTAAGCAAAACTTATGGATGAATGCTCAATTTATACACACAATTTCACAGAATGACTGTTTAACGTTGTTTTTTTTTCAACTTTACCTGGGTATGGTTAAAATTGATATTTTTATTGTATTTTTTATTTCCAATCCTACCCTGCTCTGGTATATTGATATTTTGATTTGTGGTAAGCATGATAATTGGTCCTGGTATTTCTCATTATCTTACTATACCATGATCATTATAGATAAAGATAATGTACTCTTACATGTCATCTTGTCCTTTTACAGTCTACTTCACTAACCTGCTTCATACAATTCTCCTGGGTTTTTCATCCTCTGACTGAGAAGGCATTTCATTGTTCAAAGCTAGACTCTAATAGTCAAGGTTTGGACCTATAATTAAGTATGAAACGGTCCAAAGTGAAGCAGACTAGGACTTATATTCAGTTTGAAAAAAATTCTCCGACTTTTTTAAAAAAATTATTAAAAAAGGTTCAAAATTAAATGACATGATAGAAGTCAAAATATTCATATAAGAGTTTATTATCTTTGTTTTATCATACTTTGAAGCCATAATCATACATAATATAACTCTAGTCATAAATCATACATTATAAAGCTATTATCATACATATAACTTGTATCACTTGCACATCATACAATATAGATATAACTGGCCTAAATTTAAGATTTTTAAGGTAGCTCTCAAAAAGTAAATCAAAAGACAATATGAAATATAGGAAAAAGGGTTGAAGGTCATCAGAAGGGATCCTGTGCGGTTGAATGACATGTAACCATTGTAATATACTTCACTGCCAATTTTTTAAACTGAAGAATTTTTTTAATTATTTCTTGGTCATGATTTAGGAAATTAAAAAATGATAAGGCTTACATTAAACCATGCCCCTAAATTACTACATTAGAAAATTGTTAGAAAATTATTGGATTTTAGGTGAGCTTTAAAACATAAAATTAGGCTTGATATTGCCTCTAATCTTCTTTACATTGGTCTCTTTGTATGCAGTACATATCTTTTCATTATTTCAACATATACATCTCATTTCATATATTTACTATATATTTACATCTTGGGTTTGCAGTCAATAACTTTTTTCTATTTTCTAATATTTTTATTTATTATTTCATATCTATTATTTTTATAGTAAGAATTCTTATGAGGATAGTGTTATAGAACTTACACGTACAAAAACCAGGGGGCATTCTATTGTAACTGTTGTAGCAAAAACTTTCATGGTTAGAAAATATGTGTTCTTGTCTAAATTGTAAAATGATTATTTTTTTGCTATTTGTTATATTATTTATATACATTTGATATTGAGTCATGATTTGTATTAAGAGATTTTTTGATAGGTTATTTATAATCGTGCTTTATATTGAGATATATTATATTATTTTTAGTCGTGCTCGTCGTCCTGATAGTCAAGATACTGATAAAGAAAAGGAACTACGTGATAAAGAGGCTGAGGTAAGCAAAAGTTTATGAAAATTGAACAGAATTAGAGTTGAGTCAAGAACATTCATACCCCATTTACACAAAAATTATGGCATAGATCAGAGATAGTCATGTATTTTGACATTTACAAGGGGAGTAAACAAAAAGAATTAAACATCTTGGGAGGGGCTTGATTGGTGAGTTCTGTTGTCTAAAAATATTCATAGAATAAACTGTAAAATCATATTTGAACAAGAATGTGTTCCTCATTCAGAAGATGAAGGTGAATACAGAGTTCAAAATGGTGGAAAAAGGAAAGAAAGTATTATAATTTACCGTACTATAGGTTTTGTAGTGTTCAATGGATGCTTAGAATTGAAATAGACAGAACTTGTTCAAAACTCACTTATTGAGCCTCACCTTGGAATTTTGCAAGAGTATATTGAAAGGGAGATAACTGTTTATATTAAAGAGTTAATGATAAATTGGCATATTTGCAGATTCAAAGAATGCAGCAGATGTTAGCTAAGATGCAAGCTGAAATGACCCAACAGAAAGCTGTACAACAAAATGGTGATGTTAAGTCACATGATGTTCAAGTTTAAACATGATAGTTTAGATTTCATTAATCAATTGAATATGGTAAGTATATTCTATATGATTTATAACTATCTAACTATAAGTGGTAGATCTAATAACAGTACATGTACATCCAAAGCAGTTCATATAACTTTGTTATAACACATTGTACCATAACTCTTTACAGAGTTACTGCCCTTGATATATATTGAAAATCTATTGGGTGATTTGGGCGTATCTTTTTTGCCTATGGCTTGTTACAATGATCCTACCAATAGATGTGCCAACTAATTCAATACTGAGCTTGAAAATTCAATTTGAAGATTTTAATCAAGGTCTTGGTTAGGTTTGAATTTGATATAGTTAATATGAAAGCACCTTGCTGATTCTAATCTTATGTTAAATATATGCAAGTATTAAAATTTTCATGTAAAAAAAGTCAGAAAATGTTCAGAAAAGTAGTGCGTACACTCTAAATGTTTTTACTCCCCATTTGTTTTTTTTACAGGACCACCAATAGATCTGAAAGACCAACTACCACAAGTCATGATCACTTCTATAACTAACTCTAATAATAATAATAAATATTGTCATGGGATCAAATCTCAGTCTTATCTTTTCTTCTAGTATAGTTGTTGTTTAGAGACTTTTCGCATGATTTAATTAATGAATGATTTGAAACAGGGTTGTGACACAGATGGTATTTTTGATAAACGAAAACAAAAAAAATGCAAATAAAAACAATTGTTTTGTCTTGATGTAGTCTTGTTTTGTTTAGAACCCAGAGCTGTCATCATTTTCGTTTTTTAGAAGAAATGTTTAATAATTTATTGTGTTTCATGTAAAAGACATGGCTGTTTTCTTCTGATTTTGTAAAAGTGGTTTGTCAATTTGCATTTTGTAAATAAAGTCATTAGAAAAGCATATTTAATATGAGTCATGTTTTATGTTCATAAAAATTATTTCAATTTTAAGCTCAGAATTTATATTGTTTTTGATTACTTCCCTTGCATTTACCACTCACATTACCCTGGTCTCAGCTATTTCTAATTTCATATTAAGATAAAGATTGTTTAGATGGATTCATTGACAGTCACCCAACATTCAATAGTTTCTTATTCATAATAGGATTCATTCATTAAAAAAAATACAATTTGCGTCATAATGTTGCCATTTGAATGCAGGGTAGTATGTCATGGGCCAGAAAATCATCCTCATTAGAACATTGACCTAAATGTTAGATGCATTATCGCTTCCAATATGAACATGTATACCAAATACCAAATGTGTCAAAGGACAAATATCAAATATGTAAGCTTTTTCTCCAGTCTCTGTTGTATTCATATGATACAGTATGCTATGTATTTTTTTTATAAGTTGCAATATTTAATGTGATAATTGATTTCATGACAAGTTTGATTTTATTGATTCAATTTTTAGTTAACATCTATTTTGAGACACTTACTTGTACATGTTAACTACTTAAACTACTGATTATTTTATATTAAGACATTCTTGTAAATATTGTAATACGTCATTCTAAGAGTCTGCAAGTTATTTAAAATATCAAGAGAGTTAAGAAATGTAGAAGCTTTTGAGTCAGTCTTGTAATTTCATGTTTTAGAATGTCTAACAGTTGTTTACCATTATCTAATAACAGTTGAAGTAGGTAAAGAAGTAAGAGAATAGGCTAAGTAAATGTATACAATACTTGAAACCCAATTAGTAAAGTAATTTACAATGCTCTTTGCATAAGTAATGAACCAATGATGAAAATACTCAAACAATAGTGCTTCATTATACCAATATTTATTATTCAATCAGTTTGCTTTGTGTTCATGTACAGTCTATATCTTTGTATATTTTTTTAAGGCTTCATGTCGTTATATTGATGTTTTCAGTCAACATATTTCTATTGTCTTCTGCAGATATTGTCTTTTATAATTGATGAATACTGTGTTGACGTATACTGTTTACAAAAAATAACATTATTGACTTTTGAGAAATTGGTTTTCTGAGGTGTATTCATTTATTGGAATGTAAATTGGCTTATCCACGAAATGAATGAAACTTTAGCCCCAACAAATACCAATGATTTCATGTTTAAAATTCTGTTGATTGATAACACAAAGAGTATCCATTATGAGCTAAATCTGATCTTCAATTAAAATTTTGAGTATGTGTGTTAAGATATGTGTCAATATGTGCTTTCCTTTTTTACCCATGTATTCACTGCCCCACCCCCATCACCCATTTTATCAACCCCAGCTTCAGAAAGATATACACATCTCTTAACCTTTTCTGGGGGCATATTTTAGTTTTCTGAAACACCATCAATTTATTTTAAAGTTATTTTGTATTTTCTTGCTATTATTAAATATCATTGTATCTGTATTTTATGTCATGTACATTAAATAATTTTCATAACGTAAATATTTGTTTTTCAAGAAAAAAAATTGGGCCCTTAAAAAAACCATCTTTGAAGTAACTGGACACAATTATATGGATAACAATTACTTTAATGAATAACACGCGACGTTTCGACGATGATGCTTTCGTCTTTATCAAGGATATGACACAAGTTGTAGTTCTCAAGAGAAGTATTGACATGAAACATCATGTCCAACAACTAGCAGATTATGATACGCAATTTTCTGTGATCAGAGTCAAGAAATATTTTTACTATCAATCTCTTCAAATGTCAATATCTCTTAATTGAGGTCTTAAAGGGATTGTAAAGAGGTTTTCTAAAAAATATTCGTCTATTGGGGACACTGATAGCATCAATATACAACATTTCAATTTTCAATCATGCGTGAAAGGCCTTATGTGATAAAGCATATTTCGCGATTATTGACGTCAAACACTTATATTTAATGGAATTGCAGGAACCACAAACGTCGGTTTGAAAATTGAAATCGTGCAAATTGATGCTGTCAGTGTTCCCCATACACATAACAAATTTAGAAAACCTCCACAATCCCAATGAGTCAGAAATTCTCCTAATCATTTATTGAGCGATGTTTTAAGTGACAATTCTCCTTAACTGAAATCTTGGAATTCACAGTCCCCTGATTAAGTCACAATTCCCCTAGTTCAGCAATGTCTTGAGGCTTTCTTTCATATTCTTCAGAGATGTTTTAGCGATGACGATGTCCAGTTTGTTCCTATAGCTATATTAGCACAGTTTATGTATTCTTCTGGATGTATACACATTCTTCTAACAGGGTGGCTGTAACAGTATCTTGAATAATTCGCTGAAATATATAAATTTAAATAGTATGACTATTTTTCAAACTATCCGGAAATTTTTAGAAACAATTTTGGTCCCTTACAGAATAATTCTGAATGGATTTTTGACTAAACTTTTCAAACGTAAATGTGTAGTTAGCCGGATCGTCAATCTTATAGACGTTGCCAAGCAAGCAAAACGATAATCTGATTTAGAAAAAAACCCAGGAAGTCATTTTTCAAAAGCACAAATTCCCCCTTCCTCAGGAACAGACACTCATAAATTGTCAGTAGAAATTCAGTCATTTTCCTTGATAGTTGCTAAGTAACACTCTTCTCATTGCAGGAATACAATATGGCTTCATACATTATTGAACATATTACAAGGTCTCAAATGACAAAACAGATTGGCAGTAGCTATATTATGTTTGTATAACACGTAAGTTTGAGCTATGGCTGCCTCGTACGTTAGTGACATAATCAAATATCTAAAAAGTTTTAATGACCGACTCCGCTTTTGGTTCATACGATTTCCTCGACTATCTAAAGTGATTTAAAATCCCCTGTCGGGCGTCTGTGGTTCCAGCAGTTCCAGAAGAAAATTGTCCATTAAAGACGCACTAACGCAATACCTTATACATCAAGTGGTGATTGCCATAGGTCATAATCAAGTTTTCTGGAAATGTAGGAATCACGACTAATTTTGGTGCAAGAAAAATGAATAATGTCACAGCTTTACGACCATCCGTTATCGTTATATGTCACATTTCATTTTACACAAAATATTTTTTGTTAGTTTATCCAGTTAATTATGAGACTTTCCTCTAACACCAAAGAGTAGCCAAGAGTGCTCATGAATGAATAAGCTCATATCTAACAGTGCTTTCAAAAAGAATGTCATGATAAGTGCATACCTGTAAGAAATCTCCATTTCAAGACGCAATGGTTGCACCGGAAATCAGTCGGTATGACTAATCTTAGTTTATGTACACCAGGATTAATGACGTAATATACATCACCAAATCCTTTAATCTTTAACCGATGATTCTCAAAGCAACTATGGTTTACAGCCACACTGGAAAACTCATGGGGACAAATGAAAAATTCAAATAAACCCTGTCGCACGTTTGTTTCTACCGTCACTGATATGAATTTGTAGCCTTTTGGATATTTTCGAGATATGATATACCGTCTCACATAGTTTCCTCCATATAAATGCGACTGGGCACCATTCAATGGATCTCCACATACACCACACCAATATTTCTGATCAGCTATATATGGTACCTGAAATGGAAGATTCCAAAGATACGATATGATCCTAATCACATTGTTTTTAAGTATTGATAAGTTTGAGAAGGGCATAACTTATGACATTAGAAGATTTAATCTTATGACAAGAGAAGATTAGAACTGGTGACAAATGAAGATTAGAACTTGTGACAAGAGAAGGTTATACTTCGTGACCGGAGACAGGAGAAGATTAGAACTTGTGATAAGAGCAGATAATAATTCGTGACAAGAGACGATTATAACTTGTGACAAGAGCACATGATAATTGGTGACAAGAGAAGATTATAACTTGTGATAATAGTAGAATATAACTTGTGGGAAGAAAATACTATCATCTGTGCCAAGAGTAAATGATAACTTGTGACAGATGGTAATTCATGACAAGAGAAGATTATAACTCGTGACAAGAGAAGATTATAACATTTATAACTCGTGACAAGAGAGAATTCTAATTTGTGACAAGAGACGATTATAACTTGTGACAAGAGAAGATTATAATTCATGACAAGAGAAGATTATAATTTGTGACAAGAGAAGATTATAATTCTATCATCTGTGCCAAGAGTAAATGATAACTTGTGACAGATGGTAATTCATGACAAGAGAAGATTATAACTCGTGACAAGAGAAGATTATAACACGTGACAAGAGAAGATTATAACTTGTGACAAGAGAAGATTATAACTCGTGACAAGAGAAGATTATAACTTGTGAAAAGAGCAGATTATAACTTCTTGGAAGAAAATACATTAATTTGTTGGAAGAAAATACTATGCTTGGAGATATATTAGATTATCACATTGATAACTCGTGACAAGAGAAAATTATAATTTGTGACAAGAGTAGATTATAACTTGTGAAAAGAGAATATTATAATTCATGACAAGAGAAGATTATAATTTGTGACAAGACTAGATTATAACTTCTGACAATAGAAGATTATAATTTGTGACAAGCGAAGATTATAATTCATGACAAGAGAAGATTATAATTTGTGACAATAGAAGATTATTATTTGTGACAAGAGAAGATTATAATTCATGACAAGAGCAGATTATAATTAGTGACAATAGAAGATTATTATTTGTGATAAGAGAAGATTATATCTTGTGATAAGAGAAGAGCATAACTTCTGACAAGAGAAGATTATATTTTGTGACTAGACAAGATTATAATTCATGTAACCAGAAGATTGCAAATTGTAACGAGATGATTGTGAATTGTAACGGGAATATTGTTAATTGTAACCAGAAGATTGTGAATTTTAACGAGAAGATTGTGAATTGTAATGAAAAGATTGTGACTCGACATGAACATAAAGCGCTGTTATTAGAAAGTATTACGTGGTTAACAATACTAACTATTAATAATATATATTACATACGCCATCGAGCAGTTTGTCACATGGGAATATTTCACAATACAGTATTTGATGAAGACGTTGCAATATATATTAGTTTGATTGAAAGTTTGCAGACTTACGTATTCTTCACCACAGTTGATAGAATAATCATAATAGTTGTATCGAACCCATGGTACCCTATCCCTCCATAAACTTGATCTGTTGGGTGGTTCTACCAGTCGTGCATAACTAATGAATATTGACGCAAAATCATTTTCACTTTTTATTCCTATCTCAAAAGACGATCTGCCATTCAAGTTGAAGGTTAATGATCACATAAATTGACTATTATAAAGGCTTTTAATTAGGAACTGTGCTATTGGATTTGGTTATCTTAAGAATATTCCATATCAATGTCATATAACCAAACTTCTGTCCGATTTGTGTTCCTAATTCATATGGTAATATCCAATGTCGTAGGGCAACCTTAGCCAAGATAATTTTTAGTATGAAAATTAGAATTTGAAGTAGGAATGAAGGAGATATTTGATGTTCAAGGTTTTAATGAAGTAAAGAACCATGAAAGTCATACTATTATTATTTATATGATAATTATCATAGTGATAGACTGTCATAGTCACTAATCCTCTCTGAAACATCGTTACTTGTCACTTTTTGAGCGAATATTTTTTGCCGTTCCTGATTCCTTTTACGCGACCTTCAAACTTTGATTGACGTTTCGAAGATTTACCAGAAAAGTAGACGTAAAATTCATTTCATTATTTCATTTCGAAGATTTGTGACCATGACGGTGAAATGGTGTTTGAGCTAATTCCCATTTGAGCTACTTTTTTCCCCGTTATGGCTACTATGATATTTAACGTAAAGTCACCCCGACAGGCCCGTAGCTACAGGGGTTCAAAAGGGAAGGGTGGTACTATGACCTCGCAAAAAAATGGACCCCCACCCCCTGCATTCTGGCAACCGACCAATACTATTACTGCAACTAAACACTATACATCCTATTCTCCCTCCGAAAATCAAACTTGACTACGGGCCTGTACCCAGAACTTGTCATATTTTATATCAGAACTGAACTGTGTTTATCACGGGAAAAATCAAACCTTTTAAGGTACACTATGACATCGTATGTAATCAAGATAATATGATATAGTTTCCGGAATATAACAAACATCCTATCGAATATGGATATAAAACCATTTTACCCGTAATGAAAGACCTATCTGATTTTATCGTGAATTAACTATTGGTACATGACATTTATGATCAGTATAAAACAATATTGTTTAGTGCAGAATTCTGTAGAGAATCAATTACTTTAAACATGCAGTCATCATTAATTTGGTCTTGTGTCTTATTGATAACGAGTAAGTACTCTGTTTACATAAAATAATTCTTAAAAAAGAACATGTAGAAGAATTGAAAATTAACAAAAAAACTTTTTCGTCCATTTTTTGGGTGAGGTACAATCATCTCTTAAATGGGCCACTTGTTTTCCTTTGTTATAATTTCTCTATCATTTATGTTTAATCGGATATAATCATTGATTTAAATCGACATCTCTAAATGAAATACAATCGATTTCAAAGAGTTACAAGAGTAATTTCATTAATGGGCTGCAATTACTATTACTTTAAGAGGCAACGATTATCATCTTTATATATGAGCTGTCATCAGAATCTCGTTCAAGGGATTGTAAAAATTGTATGTGTATTGGGGACACTGATAGCATGAATTTGCACCATTCCAATTTTCAATAAGATTTTTATATTACTAGTGGGATTGTACCAGTAGGAGTGTCTAAGATAACCTGATTTTAAAACATTGCTCCATATTAACAAACCTAATCAGATAGGTTGAAGACACTAACATGAAGGGGTTAATCTCAGTTTGTCTAGTGTTCACAGGTAAAACTATATTTTGGAAAGTAGATTCGTTTTTCAGTGATTAAGAACAATTAATATTTGTATGATGATATAGTGGTCTATCTTTGCTATACCAGCTGATAGAATCCAATCCGTATCACTTTTAAAATTAAAAAAAATGGCACCCAATTTGGCTAATATTCATCAAACACGTATCTTGGAAGTTTAGATATCAATTTGACAAATATTTGTCGACACTGTCCTTTTAATTTGTAAATATTTACTTTCTATTTTAGGTCTGGCAGTTATTGGTGAGTAGGCCTATAACTTATTTAGATAAATTATATCTAGCAATAGCAACAATGTTTTGATACCAAATTTAAAAAAATGAAATTTCATAACTTTAAAATTGTATTTTTGTAAATTGGAAATTCTATCAATTGGGAATTTCATTAATTGTAAATTTATGTAGATTTATTTCATGAAAATTTTACCACTTGGGAATTTTATAAGATTGGAAATAATACGACATGTTGTTAATATTGTGTCTATCTAGGTGAATGTAGAAATATAGAAGGTGCGTGTCCACCATCAAGTGGTTTAGCTGGTATTTGTGTATTTAGACCAGGTATAAACTGTATTAGTGATTCGGAATGTGGAACAGGTAAGACATCATGAACTTAACTTAAATTGTTCGTTCTCTTTTTAAACAACTAGCTTCAAATTGCAGATTACTTTATACCACGAATGTTAGTGATCTTTAAAAGATATCGTCGTCTTAACCAAACTCCCTTATCAAAATCGAGACGTATTCAAGAGTTTATAGGACGATTTTCTCCCAATTAAATGGACATGTTAATTTTTGCGAAGCCAAGACAATGAAAAGCAATGAAAGTGTTGTTTTATCTTACCTTTCTGGAATATTTAATTATCAATTGAAAATATAATTAGCTCATTTCGATCCACAACAATTTATTTAAGGTAAGAAGTGCTGTTCAGAAGGATGCGGTCGAGTATGTAAAACAACTGTTCAACAAATGCACAAAGGTAAGTGAATTAACATGTTTAGGCCTACTTCCTAATTGTGTATTTTAACGGCATAAGTAAAGATAAGCAACACCCTTCAAACTGGCTCGTACATGTTATACTTTTACTACTTCCGGTATCGACAAAGAACAAATTATGAACTTCCGGTCACAAGACTTTATCATGTAAGACATAAATTAATTCTCTAGTTTTTTACTAATGATTTATGTATTCGCGGATTCCAGCGAAGTCAACTTCTTCTCAGTTCACTTAGCACATGTGCACCTGTGTAAATTTGTCTTTTTCAGACTAACTGTCGTGATAATTCCACGTTTTGGCAGCAATTATGATAAATCTTATCGAGTTTCTTTATTTTCAGGTCAATGCCCGGTTACTGAGCCTATTTTCACCACCTGTCAATTTGTACCAGGAGTTAACTGTATCTACGACTCTGAATGTTCATCTAATGAGAAATGTTGCAGTCATGGATGTGGAAAAATCTGCAAAGTCTCTGTTTAATCATGTAATGAAAATAATATATTAAATTACTACAATCTCTTTGATTTCAATAATTAAAAAACAAGCGATTGGTCATAAACCCTATCTTGTATTCAATTTATAGTATTCACGAACCATATCATATGTGTGCTGTATGGAAGCCGACTGCGGCCATTACTACTCTGGACTTCTCGTCTTTTTTCCTCGCTGTCTCATGAATTCGAGAGGAGTAATCGCCGTAGTCTGCTGTGCTCTAATTAACACTAAAATGTCCAAACATCAAAAGGTTCTGTCGTATTTGTCAGAGAGTGAACACAGTTTGATGGTGCCAAGCACTTTCAGGCAATCCGACCCAGTCACAAAACTAAGTCAATCAAGGTAATCATTGATATACTTTTTTGTTTTTAATCTTTGTGTAGGCGCAGAATACCTTTATCTTGATATTAACCGCCTTAACAAAGAGTAAAACAATATTCAATACAGATCACAATTACTTTGGTCTCAACCTACAGACACTAAAATGTTTTTCAAAAGGTATTGCTTATAGTTGAGTACAAAATCGTATTAAAAATCTTACCAATCATCACAAAAAAAGAAAAAAAAGAAAACTCTTGTCGCACAAAGAACAAACCAACCAAAAACAAATTAACAGGATATACTAAAAATAATTGTAATAGTTGAAAAATGGTAGGCCCTACTTGTCAAATCCAACGCAAAATGTTCCTATCAACACACAAATCGAAGGGCATCATACATGTATTGGTGCAAATCCACAATCCAGGAATGAAAACAACAGTTCGAAATGATCGTCAAGAAGTGGTTAAGTCTTCCTTAAATAACATATTAATTTAATTCAAATTCTCTGATTGGATTCGCTAAAAAATGAATTCTGCACCCAAAACACTCCATACAAACGTTAAAGGTTCATTGAACTATTAATGCTTTCATTTGTTAAATGAATGCCCATTTAATTATTAGTGTTTGTCAATATCGCTTTATCAATAGTCGATAAAACAATATTAAAGCATCAATACTGGACCCTTCAGTACGACAATGTCTAATTACCAGGACGTGATAACATGACAAGCTTGGTCAAAATGCCAACAACAGTTTTAATCAGATTTAGATGAAATTTTGTATACTGATGCATATTAATGATACCTCAGATGAGCTTCAGAATTGACCTTGAGTACAAAAAAAATTATATACCTACAGACAATTAGAGACCCCGCCCTCCTCTTCACTCGATAAGGGGGGAATTAAAGAGGTCCGTATTTTCATCTGTTTAATTAAGGTGCAGATGCGCCATTTTTTTGACCAAGCATACTTAAGTCTCAGAAAGGTTTTTTTTTTGGCAAAGCCAATCAGTTCACCATCTAAATTTGAGCCCTCAAATCCATGACGTCTCGTCATTTTAAGATACTCTGTGAAATATAGAATAGACATATATAGAAATAGTGAGTAAAAGGAATTGTGCGAATATCGTACATTTCTAGTACTTCTGAACACTATTTACATATATTGAAAGGTAAAATCAAACCTCCAAAATGCCGCAAGTGTCCCTTTAATAGAAGATAATGTACGCATTCCTATGATTTTCAGTGGCAATTTTATCGTTTGAGAAAGTGGAATAGATTTAAGAATCATGTAGTAGAATAAGACACGTTAGAGAGATTACAACAGCTGGAGAGAAAACTATTTGACATAATCTGTTTATCACAATTAGAAGTTGTTTATGAGCTATATGTATGATATAATATCCAACCTATTGTTTATGAAAAAGATTACCACAATCTTATTATAATAGATCAAGGTTTCTATGAAATAACATAGCGGTAATTTTGTGTCTCGTTCGAAAGGGACATTTGACCCCGTATGCTCGACTGTTGGAAACCGGAAAAGAGTGGGCTAATACCGATCCCTTGGCCAAATTTCCTTCATTGCACATTGACTGTCATTGTCTGTTGTAATTATTCAAATCAGATTTAAACAAGTGACGTGAAATCCCATTCAGTTCAAGTGTAAATGGTTATACTTACTCTTACAAACCACATATAAAGGACCTATTGAAGTTTGACAAGCATAGTACTTTTTCTCGTGTCTACACTTCGAGACAAGTTCGCGCTGTTTATTAGAAGTCTCAAGAAGCCTTTCTGCTACATCGTTTGCTTTTATTTGCTATTGATCTATAGCTCTGTTTTATTTTCAAGATAAATAAATAAGTAATTAGCATGTTATTTGTCTACATTCACCGAATTCCAGTTGTTCACATAACACCGATTAATTCTTTCGTAGTTTTGGGATGACTTTATCAATCATATATGATAGTTTCGGTCTGTGGACTATGCTGGGTCGTTCTGTGAATTTTTTAAATACGTGAATATTTTAGTATTTAGACATGTAGATTCATATGTTTAGTACTTTCTTAACTTGTGTTTTTTTCTTCTCCATAGATTCCTTTGTTCATATTTCTAAGAAAAAAAACAAAACAAAACAAAAACTAAAAACGATTTCGCACGATCGAAGTTATGATGAAAATATACTCTGTAACCTTGTTTTGCTTTTAAATTAATTGTAGAGAGCTGGTCTAATTGATTTTATACTAATTCTTCATGGGGTACTTCAAGACTTCCAAATGCAGATTTCCTCGTGTTTTTTTTACTATTTGGGTCTTCGATTTTTTCATCCCATATAAAAACCATGTTCTAAGTCAATCGGTCCATCTTACATAAAAGTGGCAG